TTGTACTCATCCTAACTTTAGCTCGCATTTTGCTTTTAGTCGGTAATCTCTGGGGAAATTTAGACCGGAACAAAAACTGTTTAAGTTTGTTCCAATCCTTTCTTCCTCTTGTATGATGTTAGTAAATAGATATTAGTTTAACTTGTAATGAAAGCAAAGTATTTTTTGGATCGATTTTTATTATTTGTCGCGCTGTCTGGAACAAAGAAATATTTAATTGTTTAGATGATTAAGCAACTCATTTTTATTCTTATAATGAGACCCAAGGTGAATGTTTTGTACTCTTAAATTTCAATGGACATATTCGACGCATGAAATCAGTACAAATACAATACACAGTCTAAAATTAATCCCAATCAATTGTGCCTAAGCTTAACGATTATGCCACTTTTATGAATCTGAATGTTTTATTCGATAGGAGTAAATAGAGACATGCACCTAGCTATTTATGCAAATAATCTTAATGTCAATGTAACACTGCTGTACAGACCAATTTGCATGTTAATGTTAATATTCATAAGGTTGTAAACTAGAAAATAATAAGCTTTGTAAACATTAATTCAAGAAGCTTAATTTCCTAAAGATCTCTCCTTAATGATGAGTAAAGGTATATAATGTTAAGCATATAATAAATAATAAGGAAAAAAGTATTTTACATTGCAGTGTATCTACGATATGAGGTTACGATAAGAGTATTAAAGATTTTCTTTTAATTTCTTTTTTGCTATTTATCATTTCATTATCATTTGGCAGAGGCATAATCATTATGTGAAAATTTCAATTGCTACTACCTATTGAACTTTATTTGATATTGGTAGGTGCCTACGACTTCGCTTCTACTTGGTTAAATTGATTTCTCAAACTTGTTACGCCCTAAGCAGTCTCATAAGACTACGCTCGACTCTGCGCTCTATAAGGCATGACGGATCTCCTACCGCTCCTCCTGGGGTCCACCGGCTTGAAGTGGCACTGCCTTGAAGCTCAGGAGGTGCTAGAGGAGCCCTAAAGGCCACAGCCACGGTTACAAAGGAAAATATCCCGTTGTACAGTCAAATTACTGCAGCCCTTTAATATTTATCAGTGGGCAGATTAGACTTTAAATTATAAACCAAAAACACATGTTTTTGATAAAATGAATAATAAAGGTATCGAATATCGATATTTACCTGACTGCGATACAACAATATAAATATCCAGATTGGAAACATTTTGCGTCCCTACTTTTATTTATTAGAGAACTATAAAAATAAGTTACTAAAAAGATCGATACTATCGATAATATCGCGTAAGCATGGTCGACAATCGGATATCGATATTTACCTGACTGATATAAACATCGATATAACATATCGGTGTTTTAAAATACTTTGCATTATAGACGACGCATATTATTGACCGTATCGGGTCTCCTCCTGCGCTTCCTGGAATTCGCCGGCTTAGAAGTGGCGTTGCCTTACAGTCCAGGAAGTGCGGAAGTTTGCTTGGCACGTCCATAAGGTCTCGGTAGTGTAACTCCAGCAACGTTACCATCATTTCGATAATTTATTGTCTAGTTCCAACGGCTGGGATTCAAGACTATCATAATAAGATGAAAAAAATAAAACTTAATTAAGAACACGGTTACTTTTTGTCTCAATTCGAGAGATCTATTCTACGCCCGTATCCAGAACGGCATTCTGGATACGGGCGTAGAATAGATCTCTCGAATTGAGACAAAAAGTAACCAGTAGTAGAATAGAAAACATACTTATATTGTAATTAAAGAAGCAAATATAAGAAATATCGCAGATCCCGTGTTCATTGTGTACGAGTTGACTTTTGTGATCTGAAGCTGCTGCACCAGGTTCTTCATAGGAGAATAAACCTGATAGTAGCATGGACGCCCATCTGGATAGAGAAAAGCGTTGGTTTCCTGACCGCCCAATATGAAGGAAATTTCACCTAAAGGCCTTAGCAGACATATCAACCAGGAAAACTCAGCTCATGAATATGCAACTGAACTGCAAATCGATTCGCATTTAAGTGTTCATGTATTCGTCAAACTATTCCATCGGTTTTACATTCAACCGTATTATCTTCATGGCTCATATATAGAATTGCAAATTTAAACCCTTTGTAAGCTCTCTGCATTTGGGAACACAAATTCGCTTTTACAGTCATTTGCATGTTACCGGCTTATTGCTATATTGGTGACTTCCGAATCTGTTCGGTTTATAGGAGAGTATTATTTGTATATACGTTTATTGTATAACTATAGTGCATAGAAATATAATATGATTATAAAATTTTAAAGACAATTTTTACTAGAATAACAATCTAATCGGTCCAGCTTGGTTAGTGTGCCCGGACAGATTGCGGAAGGTGCGAGTTCGAATCTTGCCTGAAACCTGGGGGTCTACTCTCTGCTGCTTCTTCAAAACGAGCAACAAAGTTCAAACGATTTCGTCAATTTAAGTTTATACTTAATTTGAACGATAAACTATCAACTTGAAGCTTTCTTTGAGTAGGCTTAGAAAATCTACACCTCAATCTATATTCCGACGATGAATATTATTATAATTAAAAACGAACTAGAAACATGGTAAGAAAAGTGCGAAGTTTCTAACGAAATTTCGTTTTTCGTTGAATTAGAGTAGGCCTCCTGGACCGACTTGGTAGGTATGTAACCTCCTTTAGCCATTCTAGGTGAGCTTAAAATTTCATTAAATTCACCAAGAATAAAATATGCTGAAAAAACTCAATTCCAGCCATATATCGTTGATGGCGTATTAAGTTTTCTTATTTTTGATCGTGATTGTCTGCACATGACCTTGGCTGCTTCACAAGGCTTGGCACGGCGAGATTCTTAAGGCACCCCAAGTCTGGAAAAGTCTCTACTCCTCCGTAGTCACTAGACCATTCAAGCCTGAGTCGGCGCCATTAGGTGAGTTCTCCAATATCTGGATTCTTAGACAAAGTGGTCACAATCGAAAAGAAAAGGTTGTAAATCCCGGCATCAAGACTTATGACTGTAATGAGAAACTTCAACTTAAATGTAAAGAAAATTTTACTAGAAAATCCGAAAAAAAAAAATCTAAAATTGGTCAGTACATCCGCCCGTATAGTGAAAGGTGCGGGTTCGAGTCCTGACTGCACCCCAGACCGGAATTTTTGAATTCTCTTTAGATTTAAACATTTAGCAGTTAAATGCTTAAAATAAAAGTAGAGTAAATTAATTTCTAAATAAGACTAAAGTTTATCTTGTCACTTTTGTATAATAGTTAAAGCAACAGAAAAAGATAAAACGGCACTTTGAGAATCCTTGAATTTAATTGACGTCTCAGAATATAGCCGATACAAATATCTATCGGGTTAATAATTAAAGTAATGTTACTCAACCTTTTAGCATTTTCAAGTGTTATCTCCATTACCATAATAACAAAACCGTGCAAAACGAACAGCTGAATTCGTATTTACGGGTAGGCTTTAATCAAAGTGGGTAGGTATTGAAGAAGCAGAAATCTCGATCTGAATTCTCGATTCCACGAAAGGATTGAAATGAAGTAATTTAGAAAATTTACATTTGAACGACGGAAAGGAGTTGGATTACAAGAGCTTATGAAAATTTGTTTCCGTATTGTATGGCATTGTTATGTAACAGGAATATATCCGTTATGTAATACAAGTGTATAACTAAGTAGGAAAAATACAGAGATAAATGTTCTTAAATTATATACTTTTAATAATAATTATTTATTTATATTACAATTTATCTTTGTAAGCACAGGAACTAATGATATTGAAATAACAAAAGCGAATTCCCATTTATTCATTGAGTAAATAATGCTATTTATAATTATTACAACTGGAAAAGTACATAAATTCAGTCGCAATATAATATTTACTGATATTTTTAAAGATTTGAGGTCTTACCTCAGAAAAACCAATACACCTGCGAAAAGGCAAATCTCATTGCAAACGTTTGGAGGCACAAGTGTTTGTCCTACTTAGTATAGCAATGTATTAAATCAAAATAACATGTGTGAGGAACATAAATTACACGAAGCGCCTTTAAGTCCGATCAACCTCGCGCTATTTGTAAACATATATATTTATCTTGAAAGGAAGAAATCCGCGATGATATCCACAGTCATCCATAACTGGTTTGAAAGGGAAGATGCTATGATGACCTATAACTGAATCAGAAAAGGTTTTATTATAAATAAATGTTGGATTAAGATGAATCGAGTGGGATGAGAATTACAGAATGACAGCAGAGACTTCCGTAAGCAAATGGAAAAAGAAACGAATTAATGATTTCTTTCCACGGTGATTTGGGATTTAGTTATAATCTCCTAATTGGATTGATCTTTTTTTTACTTTGTCGATGTTTTTTGCGATTTGGCTATCATTACAATTATCATAATAATTATCCAGAAACTAATCAAATTCCTAATGGTGGTATCGTAAAAACAAACCCTAATAATTCTCATACACATAAAATAGGCCAATTATGTGCTGAACTAACCCTTCTAAGGAGGCACATATTGGGGCACCCTTTCCTTCAAATACAACGAACATAAATTATAGTGCACACCTGTAAGCCAGATCAGCGCTGGATAAAGAAATTTAATATACGCTTTCCCTGCATAAATCTGATTTATGTTTGAAAGTATGCATTTAGTTTGATTTAGGTTGAATCGAGAGTGTATAAAATATATGTATTTTCAGCACTTTGGTTTTATAGTTTTATTGAAATATCAGCAGTAGTATTGTTTAATAACTGTAGCAGTAGAGACTAATGAATCAAGAATTACACAAAGTAAATTTTTCAATAACAGCATTATCTAAATTATTTGGCATATCGTATTGGCAAAAGTATAACACTTAATTAAACATAATAATCACACTACTAAAACAACGTTTTTGAATCTATGTGTTAATTTTGTTTCAACAACTTAAAATCAGGACTGAATATATTATATACAAAATTTAATATCAATAAATTTTCATTGTTCCAGGTACGAAAGGAGGCCAGCCTTCGTCAGTATAAAATGTTGTGACAAACATAAAACTTTGGATGATAAAGTCGGTGTTACGAAAATGTGTTTACTAAAGAATTTCCAAGATGTCACGAATAATAGAACTTTTTTGTTTATAATAGTGCTGTTGTCGCTGAAGTTGTGTAGCCCGCAGGACTTGAACGAGGAATTCGTAAACGAGGACACTATAGACGCGTCTGACCTGAGTATGGTTGTGCCGGTGACGAAAATACAGTTCCCGGGGAACTCGGGAACGGGTCCGTGCAGACATAGCGAACTGTTGTGTGACACGGGACAGTGCATATCGTTGGACAAGTACTGTAACGGCGAGGACGACTGCGGTGACAAGAGTGACGAGCCGAAATCTTGCACGCGTGAGTATTTTTTTACTTTTATATAATATATTTTAGGAGATAAATTATTAAGGATTGAAGAATTATGCCAATTAGTTTTTTAGTCTCCATAAATCCTATTTAAGGATAAATTTGGTATATACCGTAACATTTTCATGGTTTCCATTTTTGTGATAGTTGATATTAATTTGCTGGTTTCATTAATCTAGAAAGAAAAGTCTTTGGATATAAAAATTTAATTAAGCAGTTTAAGTACTTAACATCTTGTAATAATATAATATTACAAAGAGGAAATCCTTTAGATGTACTTTGTCTCTGAGTCACAAAAGTTATATTTTATCGCGTTAAATTAAACTTCACCCGTGCATATCCGGTGCGGGTCGATAGTGCTTGAATAAAAATTAATTAAATTATTTCTTAATAAAATCCAACAATATAATCTGAATATTTCAGAAGCAATTCATCTTTTAAAGTAGGTCAATAAATTCGCGTTCTCATTAATCCCTTAGTAAGCCATACTTCACAAGTAAAAGGACAGTTCATTTATGTCTCCGGGAGGACTCGTTTTAAGTCATTGAGACGCATTTTTAATATGTCCCCCTCGGTTTGCTGACATCTGTCACAAAAGAAAAGGTACTAAAAGCTACCACGCTGTGGCCATAAAAGTGGTGGGTAATGAATCGACACAATAAAATAACAATAAGAAAGATAATTTCAGTAGAAAAAATTACACGCGGACCAATATATATTATATATATATAGTCTTTTCTGGTAAAAATTTCTTTAATTTCGGCTAATAGAGCCGTGGTAGCATAATGGTCAGTGCATTCGCCCGGATTGCGAAGGATGCGGGTTCGAGTCCCGTCCGCTGCCTGGTCCGCGTGGATTTTTTTCTAGTAAACTTTTCTTTAGATTTGAACATCTAGCAGTTAAATGCTTAAAAAATTCTTTATTTAAAATTTTGCACATTAAGTTTATTAAAGCTTTTTATATTTAAATGTTTTTAGATTTAAAAGTAAATATAAATAAAATAAATAAATAAGCATTATCTACTTTAATCGAACTATATTTGATAAGGTCGCAAAGTAATATTTTATAAAAAACTGCATTTTACAGAAGACCTATATACAGTACAACCTCGATAAGATAAAGACCAAGAGAAACGTTAAATAATTTGAGTTATTGAGGTTTTTACTTAGTAAGGGTTTCAGTTAAGGAGTTTTTATTTGTTTATATTTTTACTTACAGAAGTTCGTTTATTAGCTATGTTTAGGAATTATAGAAATAGACGAGCTATGTTCGAACGAAGGCTAAAAGCTGATGATACAAATAAGTAAATATATGGTCTCAGTACGAGACCTTAGTGTATTGTTTACATTTGAAGCCATTTGCTAAACACGTGTAAGCAATAACAATGGTCTACAGGGAACCTTTTTTCTTTGCACATTCATTTAAAATGACTCATTGATAGATGGTAGTAGTTACAAAGATCGTCGTCCTTAAAAATTTGAGATGCTGAGATTCGATGCCTTAATTATTCGTTTAAGTTATAGAGGGTTCGTATTTTAAATAAAAGCGGTTTTGGACTCCGAAGGGAAGGGAAAACAAAATTTTATGAATTTATAGAGGTTTTTATGTTGTTGAGGTTTAAGTTATCAAGGTTCTACTGTAATATATACCTACTAACGAGTACATTCAGCTGCCGAAGTAAAAATTTAATGAACCTTTATCTAAAATTTATTAAGAGGTTCTCGTGGCTATATAATAAACTCAAATAAGCAACATACAATTATACTATACCTCAGAAATGAAACAACGTTGCGTCGGTCTTGCAAATCTGATTTTTATACTTCTCTCAAAACTTATAGTCACTTGGAGTCGAAACTCGTAATTATCGCGGAACAAAACTTATTACCACTTATTTCAAACTTATTCGGGTTAATTTGTAAATTTCAAAAATTATTCAGGTTAATCAATCTGCTGCCGTTCCCTTCTGCTGCCGGTAACGTACTGCCCCCTTTGCCGCGTTTCACCGAGCAAAAGCCAACCAAGATGGCGGCCACCAGTGTGACCAGTTATATAAAAATGTTGCAGTTGTATAATGCAACGTCAGACGAAAACTTATTAATCGATATTATTATTTCGATACGATGAAACCTTACACAATTTTAGTAGATTTTATATTTGACGGACAATAAAGTCGTAATTTGTGACATTAGTAATAATTAGATAATCTTTTAGATAATGATGCCTTTCAAATGTGAAAATTTAATTGTAATAGGTTTATGTAAATATGATTTTCTCATTCTAGTAATATTATATTACAAATATTAGTTACTCTACCGAAGCTGGTAAAAACTAATAGTAAGGTAGTTTGGATTATAAAATAATATATTTTCTTAAACTACCCGTCGACTTTATGGCCCCGCCACATGGCAGCCGAGTGGCTGTGTCAGCGGTGGACGGAGTTGGCCGCCATCGTCTTTTATGTAATATTCATCCCCCGCAGTTATGCGGGGACCCGGCCAAAACATATTATACTAGATGTTTATGGATTTTGCGTAATACACCCAACTAACCCTTCCTCGATTTTATGACTACATAAAAACCATTTTTCAGAATCCTTGTAGGTAATAACGGTATTGAAATATTTCCTAAAAGACTATCTAAAATTAATTATTCACAAGAGAGGTAGGCCCGTCTGGGCAAGTGACCTGCACATTACAGATAATCACAGTTAAATAATATTTTGGTAGTATTGTTTATTTATTAAAAGTAAGGTTCCGGGGCTCCACTTGGTAGGGGATAAGCTCTGGGTAGGCAACGGTACGACTGATTTAATACCACAAGCGTCTATAGGCTATGGCTACCCTTTTAACATAAACAAATTTTACCAGTATGTAAATGGTTAAATATTTTAGTATTGATCCTTATAAAGGATTTATAAGAGAATTTTACAGAGATTAGGAAAAAAAATACAGTGATTGTGAAAGTTCTTGTTGTAACTACTCGTTTATTGGTATTGACAGAGTGCAGAATAAAAAAAACGTAAGTATCATTAATAATATAAAAGTATATATGTAAAAATACTATATTATATACCTAACAATTTGGTTCCTTTCGTGTTAGTTGTTGGTGCATTTTTTTTTTATTAAAAGGATGCCAAACGAACATTATGTCCACCTAGTGGTATGCAGCCACCATAGCATTTAAATAGACGCTAGCTCATCCATCCTCTATCCCGTGTAATCCTGGAACTTTACTTTCTGTCAAATACACAACACCACCAAAACGTAGTATTCAACGGTATTATTGTGTTAAGTGAAGGATTCTTTCCCAGACGGGCGCTCCAATTGGAGCGGAAAATCTCTGAAATTTTAGGTCTATACTATATTTGTTCTTGATATTTCAATACACTTAAAATTATTTCCAAATGGTTGGAATATCGGTTGCTAATTGCCTATCAATTATCAGCTCAAAATGAAAATAAACGCGCCAAAACTATGGAACAATAAGTCTTTTATATAGTCCTTGCAAGGAAAGTGTGTTAAATGACAGGCTGTTTTTTACCTGAAAGACAGTGAAACGGTCATTAGTGGTACGCTCTTTCATTAACGCTCAATTTTTTACATCTACTTTTTCAATTCCAAATTTTAATTTATTTTAGAAAATTATTAGTGAATGTCTTGAAATATACGGAGATTGAGAAAACCTAGCCAAGAAGAAAACTTGTCAAGGTAAATTTTCTGTGCCTATTGTTCAGCCTTGTTTCTTTTATGTTAGATCATTCTATTATAAAGTGCCCACCTTATAAGTTTGCAATAAGGATTCTTTGTCCTTTATAAAATATAAATAACTTCTGATAAGAAACCACTTCGTTAATTTGAAATTGTTTCAAATTCAAAACTTGGCTAAACTATGGGATAGTCTGGTTTGTGTTTGTAGTGCTAACTATTTTGTAAACTTGGATAAAGGTCTAGGATGCCTTTAGTTTACCCATCACCCTTAAGTTTTACAAAAGCGGTTTCCATCGACTTTCAGTCGAAGGACTTTAATCCTCAGCTCCTAGGGGCCATATTATTTTGATGTCCGTAAATACGTTTTCACGCTAGAAATGTTCAGAACGATAATTGTCTTACACAAAAGACCTCGGGAATGTCCTTACAAAGGGATTGGAAGGACTAGATTACTGGCAGTATCCACAATTTTTACTCTCCCCGGACATAAAGGGCCAGGGGACTGCGTTCCGTCAATTCACGTCTTTCGAATAAATGGTTCATTTGGCCATTACATGCAGCGCTAAGTAAGGACTCTCGAGTATAGTGCCCAGACGGAGGGTGATTTTGACTCGTAAAAACAAATGAGATCATTATATTTCTTTTTTTGTGTTAATATAAACGTTTTCCATCACCGAGCTATCTCATGATTACGTTTAGATACGACTACCTACGTACCTACGTGCCTATAGTGTAATCTAAAGTACTTGCTTGTACTGGTTTTAATAACCCGAACTTACATGAACATAATAATTTGAGAAACAAAATAACCGCAACTTGACTAAAAACTAGCATTAGATAATAAACCTTGGATCATTATCGACAAATTGCGCTGTCTAAATCGTAAGTTGCATTGAAAATAATGATTTAGCTAGAAACTAAATTGGGCGATTCCTACATTATTACGCATCACTCAACGTAGCGCCATAGGGCGTGTTCTTACGTTGCTGTGTATTGAAACACGCCAACACACTGAAAAAATATTCAGGCGCAGTGTTGGAAATCACGTGCCTACATGTAGATAACGCACTTACATACAGAGAAACACGTCTGCATGGCAAAAGCTGCACGATGATGCAGATCTGCACTCCCGCAACTTGGAGCGTAGTGCGAGGCAGTGTGAGGATCGCCATAATGTAATAACATTATACGAGAATATGAGAAATAACAGTATGAAGAGAATATGAGAAATGCTTAAAATAAATAAATACAATAAATTATTTCAGATATTCCAACTAAGTTCCC